GATATCAAAAAGATGTCAACTGATAAAATGTTTATCAAATTATCAGCAACTATTTCTTTGTTTAACACTTTTTGATATCTTTGACAGAAAGCGAGATAAACTGGCTCAAAGTTGGCAGTTGTGTTTGGTCGCTTCTCTAGCCGCCAGTCCGGTGGGCGCTTGAGCGGTGGCTTTACATAGCTGTCAACTTTGAGCTCGTAAATCTCAATTCCTGTTGAGATTATCAAAAAGTTGTCAACTGATAAAATGTTCATTATAATATCAGAAATGTTTTGTTAGCTTGCCACATTTTGATATCTCTTACAGGAACCCAGATATATCGACTCTAAGTTGAGTATAAGGTGGCCGTCTATTAGAGTGTTCACGGAAAGTAAATTTCGTAGTTTGTAGTTTGTAGCCAGCCGTACCCTTGTCCTCAACTTCCTCCCCAAAACTCGAATCTCTTCCTCTTCGGCGACTTCGATGCCAAAAAGCAGATCCTCGTACACCTGCATATCATCTCGACGCATACTAATCGACCCGTTATTATTATGATAGCTGACTTTGTCCAAAGACATACGGTCTTTTACACCAACTTTTTCGTTTATAAAAAATTTGGCGATTCCGAAAAACTCCATACTATTTTTTGCTGAAATTTTGTGGGAATTTCATAGAGTACAGAGCGCGAAAAAGTGTAAAAGTGAGGTAAAATGTGAGGCGATAATAATTTTTCGAGAATTCGTGTCAAGACCAAAAATATAAAATTTGACTGTAGGCCGTGTTTATACGTATTTTAAAGCTCTTAACAAGACAAATATTTTACAGAGAAGATTATTGAGCTAGCATGAAAAATAAGGGAGTTACGGTAGTTTTCGTCAATGGTCAGATGCAAAGAAACCAGACACGCTGTGTCTCTAACCTAAAAATTTCAAAACTGGTGGCGTTTATATTCATTTGGAAGCTCTTAAAAAGTCAAATATTTTTCAACCAAGTTCATTGAGCTAGCATAAGAAATAAGCAAGTTAAAGTAGATTTTACCTATGGCTAGAGTCAGAGAGACCATCCACGCCGCGTTTCTGGCCCAAAATTGACCATGCTCAAGGTACTTTGGACGGTTTATAAAGCTAAACTCAAAAATTAATAATAATAATTCCTAATTTTCGCTGCAAGACCCAAAAAGTTGAAAATACTGTAAAACCTGTAATAGAAGGGCACCTTCACTTTTAACTTTGTTCCAACCTCTCGGGTTCTCGGTATCTTGGTATCTTGGTTCCTGTTTAAGACATAAAAAAGTTGTCAACTGCCAAATTGTTTATCATAATGTCACAAACATTTTATTAGTTGACATATTTTTGTTATCTTTCACAGGAACCGAGATAATTGAGCTGCTAGCATCGAGGTCGCGAACGCGGCCGACCGCGTAGCTCAGCAAAAGACTATATATTTTCAGCTAACTTAACTCGCTTCTTATAAGAGATATCTAAAAATTGTTAACTGATAAAATGTAGGAGACATTATGAAAAACATTTTATTAGTTGACACATTTATGTTCAAAACCTAGGCCACCAATCAAAAAAAAAGTTCAAAAAGGAAGGAAAACAATAAAATAGCTCTCGAAAAGTGGGTGAGAACTAGTAAAAAACTTTCTCATAGGGCTCCAAAATTTTTTGACGGCGGGGAGAAATCCTCGAGTGCATTTTGGGATTCTATATCTTTCTTCTTTTCGCTCACAGAACCGAAAAAAAGTTTTTAAGTAAAAAAAAAACTTTTTCTTTCTCGTTCGATGGAAGTTGTCTCAAAAATGTGCTGCCAAATTTTTGATGGACAGCCTATCAGCAGAGTTTCTCCCAATTTCTGTCAGACAAAAACTAAATCTTCTTGTTTGAGACACATCTCTCAAAAACAGACGAAAAAATATGTAATCAAAAATAATATATGAAAAGAAGGGTTGAAAATTTTTGGTGAATTGAAAAAATTGGAATTTTGATTTACTTTTAATCCAAAAATTCAGAAATTCAAGTTACGGACTTTTTGAGTGTTAACAATGTATTCAGCTAATCAAGAGCTTCAAAATGAGTATAAACACGACTATACTTAGGATTAGGAGGTTAGAAACGCAGCGTGTCTGGTTTCTCTGACTCTCGCCGCACACGAAAACTGTAACCGACTAATGTTTCAAGCTAGCTCATTAAAAGCTTCTGTATAGTACTTATCTTTTCAAGAGCTTCAAAATGAGTATAAATACGACTGTGTTTGAAAATTTTAGGTTAGTGACGCAGTGTGTATGGCTTCTCTGCTTCTAGATATAGACGAAAGCTACCGTATCTCGCTTTGTTTTCAAGCTAGCTCAATGAAAGTTTTTGAATAATACTTTACTTGTTAAGAGCTTCGCAATGAGTATAAACACGGCATGACTTAAAAATTTCGATTTTTGGGTCTTGACACGAAATTTGATTATCACTATCTCCCCATTTTTTGTACTTTTTCGTCTATTGGTGTTCCCTTGTACTCAGCGTTTTGACAAAATTTCAGCAAAAAATCCTTTTTGAGTTGTTAAGAGCTTTTAAAAAGTTTCCCGTTTCCTAGTTATCAATAGAGCGCACTTACCGTGATATCTTAGAATTTTAAGAATTTCTCCAAACCATGCAAGAAAGACACTTCATAAAGAGATGTAGAAAAGAAGCAAAAACCATGCAAAAGACTTTTTTTAATTTTGAAAATTTTCCAACTAACCCTCCTCTGTCTCCGATGGAAACCTTCTGGAATCTCAGCCACACGGTCGTCCAATTCTTGTCGTTCCATCTCCTCATAGCTATCGTACTCGACGCCTACATGGTGGTATGTGGATGCTGGAATTTTTAGAATGAAACTTTTGAAAATTATGTTATAGTTCATCGTTTGAAAACCTGAATTTGCGTATTTATGGACTTATGGGGGACTTACGAGGGTAATAACGTTATGGTCAAGGCAGGTAAAAAAAGCAAAAAATATTGGGGCTTGGAAAGAATCGAACTTTGGTCTTGTGATCCAAAGTCAACGCTGCTATCCACTAGACTAAACCTGCGAGGAGCGAGGCGCGAGGCGCGACGCGGAAAGGGGCACAGGAAAGGGAGGTGAAGCGCGCCGCCGCGGATGGACGAGGAAGCTCTCAGCGCTCCTGTAGTCTATTGGGTAGCAGTGTTGACTTTGGTGCAGAAGGTGAAGGGTTCGATTCCTTTCGAGTGTATTAATTTTTTAAAACTTTCTCTGAATATTTCTGACTATTTTTGAGTTATATGCGCTACCTGGAACACTCTTTTTCAATTTTTTTTTTCTCTAAAAATTCACCATAATCATCGTTATTCCGATGAAGCAGTGCTTCATGGGGATTGTCACCGTCCTCCTCCATAACCAGACTGCCGACATCACTCGAGTCGACTCGCTGATATCCTCGAGATGTTGACGTCATCAGCGATGACGTGGCATCTGAAATTGACTTTCAGGTGGGAGTTTGAAAAAATTGCAAAAATGTTTCCAAATATTTCTCATCTCAAAAAGCAAAAGGTAATCCGATAGACCCCCGTAGAGGTACAAATATGGCGGCGGGAAATTCAAAACCTCAAGAATATGACAAATATATATTGGTGCACACAAACAGAGACACCAAGAGAGCAAAAAAACGGAGCCAGAAGACAAAAGTTTTTTTTCTCCAGTCCGGAAGAAAAAAAACGAAGAAGCGCGCTAAATTGATTAGGTAGAGCCCTCTGGCGGCTCACTGGACCTCTGGACACCCTCCCCCGGCCAATTTTGATGATTGACTTTTCGACACCATTACTCAGACAGAAGAAATATACATTTGGGTCTTCTTTTGCTTAGTCGGAGCCAGGAGCCCGTGTGATTTGATAAATGAAGACGTTTTCAACACCAACCAATGTGTCCCTAGGGGTGGTCTCTAGTTGCCCCTTGAACATGACAAAACGTTTTGGTGGAAATTTCTAGGAAGAATACTTTTTGGCTGCTAAAAAGGGACCCAGAAACATCCGGAATCACCTCAAACCTTGGCTAAAAGGAGCCTCGAATCCCAAAATTCTTGCGGAAATCACTTTGAAACTTGGTTAAAAATAGGTAATAGTCAAGAAACCCGCCAATCAAAAAAGCAAAAAGAAATCCGCAGTCAGCAGGATTCGAACCTACGCGGGCAGAGCCCAATTGATTTCTAGTCAATCTCCTTAACCACTCGGACATGACTGCACGGGAGGGGCGAGCGCCCCAGGGCGTATAGGAACGGGAGGGGAAAGCGCACCTGGAGGGAGGGAAGGGAAGAAGAACGAAAAGTTTTTTTTTTCAAATTTTAGGAAAATGAAAAGTTTGCTCTATTGATAATTTAATAAAAATAATGGTTATTCGGGGTGAGAGAGGCTTAGATTAGCTGAAAAAGAATATAGGTTTTTGGTGGACATCTGGAAACTGGATTTAGCTAACAACTCAATTTCCAAGTAGATTTCTACTCTCGAGAGAAAAAAGGCTGGATTTTTCAATTTTGAGAAAATGGAAAGTTTGCTCCAATGATATTTTATTAAGAAAAATGTTTGATTATAGCTAGGAAGTGCTTTTCTGGAATATTGATTGGAAATGTTCTTAAAACCACATAAACAAGATGGACAGGAAAGGTGAAATGAGGTTGTCTGCCCATCAATTCAAGGGGATAGGACCAAACTGTACACATGAACTTTACAACTGTACTATGGTGATAGCAACAATTATAGGTTATAAATCATAGTACTCTCTTAATTAGGTAGATTAACTTTGACAGATCGAATAACAGATATGAAAATTACACAGGGCTGCATCGAACAATAAAAGGTTATAAAATCTAGCCTGAAGACCTAAAACCCCAACATCATGTCATACAAAAAAAGCAAAAGATAATCCGCAGTCAGCAGGATTCGAACCTACGCGGGCAGAGCCCAATTGATTTCTAGTCAATCTCCTTAACCACTCGGACATGACTGCACGGCTAAGAGTGCGAGTGGGAGGGCGTATAGGAAGGAGAGGGGAAAAAGAAAAGAAGTCATAAATAATTTGATAAAAATCAGTGAATATCAGAAACTAGGAATCTAGGAAAAAGGAAAAAAGGAATGGAAAAAAGGAGCGAAAAGTGAAGAAGTGAAACTAGGCAAGATTAATGAGCCGCCTTTTCTCTGGTTCTTCTGGACAGTGAGACATGTTTCCCTTGTGAGAAACGCATCATCGTCTTCTTTTTTTGGGAAGAAAGACTTCTGGAGAAAAAAGAAAAACGTGTAAATGGACATATGGAACTTATACAGCTAAAAGAGATTTTGGATCAGGAAACCAATTCCAATAATATACCGTGTTTCCTCTAATAGAAGCACACCCAAACCGTCTACTTTGAGCAAAATGATCTCGGTTCCTGTGAAAGATATCACAATTTTGTCAACTGATAAATTGTTCATCATAATATCACCAATATTTTATCAGTTGACAAAATTTTGATATCTTTCACAGGAATCGAGATAATAGAGCTAAAAGTGGGCGGTCTGGGTGGCCTTAGGTAATGCGGTAATTTGATTCTGGAGGACTTTGAAATTCTAAAAATTTCTACAATTAGGACCTCTGGGATTTTTAGATCTCCTGGATTGTTCTAATTTCAGATTTTCAGGATTCTGATCATTTTCAGAACCTTCAGAATCCTAAACTCATGCTATACGACCGAAAAATGTTTGTATGGCTGTGCTTGGTGCCCAAAAAATCTGATAAAAGGTCAAAGAGATCCAAGAGAAGGAGCCATTTGGTTTGAAAAATGACCTTGGCCTATAGGCTTTCCTTTTTCCTTCTTTTTTTTCTGGAAAAAGTGTGCTTTGTTTAGAATTCTCATCTGGAGTTGTACGAAACAGGTTTGCAGATGGTTTAGTTTATGAATTTATATTTAAAAACTTGGTTAGAGCAATGATAAACAAAACTTTGGGGAATTTTTTTTGAAAAGCAGCCAAAAAAATGATTTTAAGGTCGAAAGGAATATATAAAGGGGACGATTAAAAAAAGCAAAAAAGTTTGGAAGTGAAAAGAATCGAACTTTTGGCCTTCCGCACCATAGTCAATCCTACTATCCATTAAGCCAAAGGTGTGAGGCGCCGCGCGCGGCGCCAAATGATACAAGAATGGTAAAGAGGGTGGGAGAGGGTGGGCACACCACTGACGATACCAAGGACGCCGCCCGCCCGGTGGCCTAGTGGATAAGAGAGATGACTCCCGATCACAAAGCCGAAAGTTCGATCGTTTTGGCTTACAAACTTTTTTTGCTTTTATACTTTACATTTTCCACCTTTTTCTAGAACTTTCTAGAGCCTGTAACCTACAAAAACTAAATTTAGAAGCTAAAAAAAGGATCTGGATGGGCGACTAATACTATTTTTTCGAGTATTTTTTGAGCCTAGTAGTAGTAAGAGATAGAACGTCACTGGGTTAATGAAATAAAATGAAAAAAAAGAGGGGAGGAATGGAGAAGCAGAAGCGACGGGGGCACCTTGAGTTTTATGGAATATGGAAATGGGATAGCAGTTGAGTTGAGAGGAAGAATAGGAGCAAAGAATTTTTTTGAAAGTTGGAAAAAAAGTGGGAGAAAAGAATCTGGAAGAAAAAAAGTTTGGCAAATCTGACGAAAAAATTGAGTTTTCAGCTGAAACTAGTTCCTAGGTGTCTTTTCAGCTATTCCAAGCTCTTTCCCATCCCGAAATCACCTTTTTCTTTGAAAATTATCATTAGAGCGCACTTTCCATTTTACCGAAACTTCAACAAAAAATCTTTCCGTTCTTTTTCCCTTCCCTTCAGGTGCGCGCTTCGCACCCCTTCTTATACGCTCTCTCGCTCTTTACCTCCACCGTGCAGTCATGTCCGAGTGGTTAAGGAGATTGACTAGAAATCAATTGGGCTCTGCCCGCGTAGGTTCGAATCCTGCTGACTGCGGATTTCTTCTTGCCTTTTTTTCATGGCTGGAATTTTGGGTTATCCGCTATAAGTTTGATTTTAGAGTATCTTTTTCTGTTTTTGAGTTCAAAAAGTATATAAAGTATTTAGGTTTTGCTGCGACCTCCTGGTTCCAAAAGAGAGGAGACAATTGCTTTTCCACTTTTCTTCTTCTTTCTATGGAGTCTCATTTTCATCTTCTTTTTTTTTCGTTCCTCTAATTTTCGCTCATTTTTTGTGACACAAAAAATAGGGAGAAGTTTTTGGTAATCCTTTTCGAGGGGGAGTGATGGAACGATAAGGATTAGAGGATGGTAGATGATAGTGGAAAAAAAGTAAAAAAAGTCCAAAAAATGACCTCGAAACCCAAAAATCGTGCCAGGAAAAAAGAGAAAAATTAATCCGCAGTCAGCAGGATTCGAACCTACGCGGGCAGAGCCCAATTGATTTCTAGTCAATCTCCTTAACCACTCGGACATGACTGCACGGCGGAGGAGGGGAGCGGGAGGGCGTATAGGAAGGGGAGCGCCTACCTGGAGGGAAGGGAAGATGAACGGAAAGATTATTTTTCAAATTTCGGGATGCATTTAATTGGGGTTAGGAAGTGGTTTAAAAATAGTAATTCAAGAAAAATGTAAAGGAAAACTTCTTTTAGAGAATGAGTTTTTTATGTTAAATTCAAAAAATTAGCTTATCTATAGAAAAAGAGCGAAACAAAAGTATCAAAAATTCTTTCGGAACAAGTTGAAAACCTCTCGGAATAAGAGACGAGACCCTTCAACCAAAAGTGAGAAGAGGGGGGGGCCTCTTTTTGGTGTGTCCATTGCCCCATGGGACAGTTTTGCGATTTGACATGAAAATGGGCGAGAGAGTGTGCAGATTTAGGAGACGCAGACTAGGAAACGAGAGAGTGTAGTTTTCAAAATATATGTTATATGTTTTGACTATAAGACTGACAAAAATGTGCATGGGTTTGACTTGTCAGAAACTTTTTGGATTTTTAGGTTTCGAAATAAAACATAGGTTTTTGGATTTGGGGGATCTTTGGTTCTAAATGAACTTTTTTTTTAATTCAAAAAAATACCTGTCATGGATTCATCGATCGCTGGAATTTCCGACTCTAACATTGGATCGAATGGTTTGGATGGGCGATGAGCTGAAAATTGAAAAATCTGAAATTTTCAAAAAAATTTAAATCCAACCTTTCCGAAATAGTGAAAAGTACTTAGACGGCATTTTTTTTCCGAAAAAGTGCAACTATGCCTATTTTCGAAAAAACGCTCTACACTAAAAATGAGAAAGAAAACTGCCTCCAAGCTCCAAAACACAGTTTAATTTGGCAGCATTCTCCTGAGCACCCCCAGTTTTACGGCTAGAACTAGAGACAATAAGAAACGAAGAGACAGTAGAGAAAAATGGGAAAAATTAGATGAAAATGAATTTTATGCGGTTAATTTGGGGAAGAACAAAAATATAGCGGAACTATTTTCGGCGGTTGTAGTTTAGTTTAGTAGTGGTGTTTGGTGGTTTGGTGTAATTTCCTGCTGGAGAGCGCAAAAAGTATCTTTTTCAGGCTGTGTAGGACCTTAAACATAAAAACCTAAAGAAAAGAAGGAATTTTGCACCAAGAATTGTCCATTGATGGTATTTGGTGAGTTCGAAACTAGTGAATTAGGTTCAAATAGGTTAAAACAGCTCTAGGATGATTCCCAGACCCTCTAAACCTCATAGAAAAAAAAGCAAAAAGAGATTGCCCTGAACCAGGATCGAACTGGTGACCTTTAGATCTTCAGTTTAACGCTCTCCCAACTGAGCTATCAAGAGATCGCATTAGGGGAGCGAGGGCGTACAAGAGGGGCGCGCGGTCGGAGGTCGCCGGGAAGGAGAGGAGAGGAAAGGAAGGAGTTTTGAAGAGTATGTTAAGAGGATACTGTAGAATTCGGGAAACAAACAAATTCTCCTGATTTTTTCTGAATATTTCCATAGCCATAAAACAGACATAAAACTATTCAAAAGTTTCGTCCTAATCGAATCATAGCTCCCTTTAAAAAGCCTAGGACCTGGTTAAATTCCGTAGCATTCTGAAAATGCGTCTTCTCCTTCTCGTGGTTTTCCCAGCTCTTCTGGGCGCGTTGAGTGTGGTAAGTCTAGATGTTTTATGACGGAAAAACCTGTAAACTTTCCAAAGTATAACTCAAAACTAGTCAGAAATTACAAAAATTAAATTGTTTGGAAAAAATCCAACCCTTCACCTTCTGCACCAAAGTCAACACTGCTACCCACGAGACTATAGGCCGCGGAGAGCATCTTCCCGTCCACCGCGGTGGTTCGCTTCACCTCCCTTTCTTGTACCCTTTGCGCGTCGCGCCTCGCTCCTCGCAGGTTTAGTCTAGTAGATAACAGTGTTGACTATAAATCACAAGACCAAAGCTCGATTGTCTCCAAGTCCCAATATTTTTTGCTTTTTGTACCTACCTAGACCATAGCACTTGTACCCCCGTAAGTCACTCCTAAACCTATTTTCATGCAGATCAACGTTCTTCCAAGAAGAAACTTCCTACCGGAAAGCGTTTTCCAAAAGCTTGCCTCCGATGATCCACCAGATATGACACAAGACCTGACCACTTTCAAGGAATTCGTTCCATTCTATGTGAATCTCTTCAAAGAGGCAATCACGAAAAAAACTAGAGAAAACTTTCTGGCTCATATGAACTACGTGGACAAGGAGATGTTGTTCCATGAGTGCCACGCGGTACAGTACGAGAACTACGGTAACATATGCTTCAGGATGTTGCTAGACCTAAAACTCTTTAGGCGCCTACGCCAACTGGTTCCAACAATTCGTGACCTACCATGATGACCCAATTGTGGAGATCACATCTCAACGTCAAACTGGAAATGATCAAGGAGAGATGATTCTGAATGTCGACGTCCAGGCACAATTCAAGTATCGTCAGAACTTCGATATGAAAGTCGCCGCGTTGAATGTAGGTCAAGCTACGGTAATTCTTCAAAAATAGTATTTTTAGGACAAGAAACTCGGATGGAAAGTGCTCATTGTGGATCGCACACTTGGATGTCGTTAATTCTTTTATCCTGTTAAATAAGGGCAATAATACATTTTCATTTTTCAAAATTTTTTCCTCGTTCTTCTCCCCGTTGTGCCTTGATAGCTCAGTTGGGAGAGCGTTAGACTGAAGATCTAAAGGTCACCAGTTCGATCCTGGTTCAGGTCAATTCCTTTTTTGAATCTTTTGGTTTTTATGGTAAAAGTCCAAACTTAAGACCTTCATTTTTTCCCTTAAAAAAAGCACCTAATTTTTTTTCAAAAATTTTCAAATGATATAGGTTTCGTCCCAAAGCTCCAAACTGTAAGTTCACAACGTTCCCTAGTTTGGAGGTAATATATCTCAAGCACCCAACAAGATATCGTTTGGATTTTTATATGAATTTGAACTCTATACAATTTTACATATTTCTGAAATTTACAACTGTTCGATAACTACCATAGTTATGGAGATATGCGCCTTTGAATAAAATTCCACCATCTTGCTGCTCTCCTTGCGACTGTTCAATATTTTCAGAGCGCTATATCTCAAGAACCAAAATAGGTACCGTTTACATTTTTATACCAATTTGAAGCTTATAGAATTTCGTATATTTTTGCCATTCACAGCTTTTCAATAGCTAAAGTAGTTTTTGAGAGATGCGCCTTTAAAGTTAGCGCGCGCTTCGCCGGGTGCCTTGACATGAGAGTCAGAGTGGAGGCGCATAGAAACGATTGTGCCTCAGAATACGTGAGTTAATTTAATGAATACAGTGCGTTTCAATATTATACGTCCACTCTTGTTTTTGGCCGTAACTTGAGAACCGGTTGAGATATCAATCTAATTTTATTAAAATTGAATTCAGAGCAACAAATTACATCTAGAAAACCATTTTTGAGAAAAAATATTGAAAACTACTCGAGATACAGAGAAAATCTGAAAATGTGACATTTGCAACCGTTTCAAAATTATACGTCCACTCTCAGAATCAATGCTAAAATAGAGAATAAAAAATATTTCAATACTTTGTGGATGAACCTTTACCAGCAATGACATCGAAGAGACGATTTGGCATCGATTTGATAAGGTTTTGGATGTATTGGGTGCTCTTAGTCTTGAACTCCTGCTCCAGCAGACTCCACTCAGCAATCAGCGCATCCCGAAGCTCTCCAATACTAGCATACTTCTTTCCATGGCGGTAAAGACGACGAACCAGCTCGCCCCAAACATTTTCCATCGGATTCAGATCTGGAGAGCAAGCTGGCCATGGCAAGACATCGATGTTTTTCGATTGGAACCAGTCCAAAGTGGAGCGGCTGACATGGATTGCAGCATTATCTTGCTGAAAAATGAACTGGCGGCGACTGAATCGACGACGAAACGGGATAAGGTGGTTCTGGAGAACGTCTTGGTAGTCTGTGGAGTTCATTCGACAAGTGGTGAAAGCGAGCTCCAAGTATCCAGCCGAAGCAAATGCTCCCCATACCATCAAACTGCCTCCCCCGAAATTCCTTTTGGCAAAAACGGCTGGATCCTTCCGCAAGTCGTGCCAGTACGATTTGAATCCGTCGGGTCCATCAAGATTGAATTTTTTCTCGTCCGAAAAAATTACCTGTAAAAGATAAGATAATTTGGATAGATAATTTTAAATTTAATACCTTATCCCAGTTGGTTCCCATGTTTTTTCGAGCGAAGTCGAGACGGCGAGTTTTGTGATTGTCAGTGAGCTTCGGAGCAGGGCGCATGACTGCTCTTTTGATGTTTGGATCATCCTTAAGAGCCCTCCAGATTGTACACTTGCTCACTCCAAGATTCAGCTCTTTTTTGATATCATTACAAGACTTCATGGTGTTTGAAGCCACACGAACGATTGATCATTTGGCTCTTGAATTGAGTTTTGGAGGACGTCCAGCCTTGTTGGGTTGATTGTTGCGGGTCCGGTTCGATACAAAACGATTAATGCAATCGTGGGAACGATTTAGATGTTTCGCGATAGCCCTGTTGGTCCAACCAGAGGTTTTGAACGCGTCGATGAAGGCTTTTTCAGCATCAGTGAGCAAATGGCCACGAGACATGTTGAAAAGTGGAGAAAAACAAGGAAAAGCATAATGAAAAAAGTTTCTCACATTGGCAGCAAAAAACAAAACTAAATTCAAGCTTTTCCGGCTCCGCCAAAGGTCAAGATCGACATACCTTTGAAGTGGACGTATAATTTTGAAACGGTTGCAAATGTCACATTTTCAGATTTTTCTCTGTATCTCGAGTAGTTTTCAATATTTTTTCTCAAAAATGGTTTTCTAGATGTAATTTGTTGCTCTGAATTCAATTTTAATAAAATTAGATTGATATCTCAACCGGTTCTCAAGTTACGGCCAAAAACAAGAGTGGACGTATAATATTGAAACGCACTGTATAATTATATGGGTGAGGCAAAATAGTTCAATAGTCCGTGTTCCTGGTATCCGTGTCATCAAAAAACCACGTTTCGAAAAAATGGGAATCTATCCGAATTATATCTCGCTTTGAGAATCCTGCTGTGAGCTTCCTAGCATCCTGAACATGCGTCATCTCCTTCTCTCCTTGGTGGTTCTCCCAGCTCTTCTAAACGCGTTTAGTGTGGTAAGTCTGTTGGAATCGAACCTTTGACCATCTGCACCAAAGTCAAGGTCGCTAACCCTCTAGACATAATAATTTTCTCTCTCTCTTCCAGGTGCGCAACACACCCGAACCAGGAGATCCAGAAGATTTGACCCAAGACCTCACTTTCAAGCAATTCGTTCCATTCTATGTGAACATGCTCGAATTGGCAATTACAAAAAAAATCCAGAGACATTATCAAGACTCACATGTTCTATGTGGACAAACAGATGTCGTTCCATGAGTGCAACGCGGCAACGAACTTGCATTACGGTAAGAGAAATTTCTAAACCTAATACATCTGGAGCTAGAATTCTTTAGACGAATTCGCCAACTGGTTCAAACAGTTCGTCACCTATCACGATGACCCGATTGTAAAGATCACCTCTCTACGTTCAACTGGTGATGATCAAGGAGAAATGATTCTGAATATTGATGTGCTGACTCAATACAAGTATCGTCAGAATTTCGATATGAAAGTCGCCGCGTTGAAGGTAAACCAAACTACAGCAATCCTTATAAAATAAATTATTCAGGACGGGTCCCTCGGCTGGAAAGTGTTTGTTGTCGATCGCACACTTGGATGTAGTTAACTCTTTTTCTAATTATAATCACTAAAAACATTTTTTTTTCAATTTCTTTCCTACGGCATCCTCTCCTCTCCCTGGTGTGCCTTGATTGCTCAGTTAGGATAGCATTAGACTGAAGATTTAAAGGTCACCAGTTCGATCCTGGTTCAGGGCTATTTCCTTTTTGAATCTTTTAGGTTTTATAGTGAAAATCCAATGGGGTATAACAACTTTTTCAAAATTTCCACTCAAGATCTTCATTTTTTCCTTTTTAAAAATCCAAAAAGTTCACTAAGCATTCTTCTCTTCTTCAAACTTCGCTTTACGACATCCTGTCTATCCTGTTTGTAGTCAATGACCCAATTGTGGCTTTTTGGGTTACGGTAGCAGCCGCAGAAGATACCGTCACACCTACAACGCTTGGGTAGGAGTGAGCTTTTTGAAGGACGTCCGGAAATTTTAGTAGATCAAGATTATGAATAATTTAAAATTTGAGAATTTGAAATTTTAGAAATTCAGTTATAAGAGAACCTGAAAAATCTTTTGGTTTTTATGTTTGAAACCCAGTACTCCTTTTCTAAAAAAATACTTGACTCGTCTTTCTCAGTTTGTCCACTTTTGGAAAGCTTGAAAAATAAATATGAATAAAAGTGATCCTTCAAGAAATGTGAAAAGCTAGATTGAATCGCGCCGAAGGCGCACCAGCTAAATTTCAACTCAAGACCTTTATTCTCAAAAAAGAGAATACGTGAACTTTATGGGTGAGGCAAAAAATTTCAATAGCGCGTGCCCTATTTTGTGGGTCTCCGTGTCATCATGAAACCACGTTTCAAAAAAAAGAATCGTGGGAATCTGTCTCCAAATCGAATCATAGCTCCCTCTAAACACCCTCGGGTACTGTCAGCTTCCCTAGCAGCCCTAGCATCCTCAAAATGCGTCATCTCCTCCTCTCCCTGGTGGTTCTCCCAGCTCTTCTGAGCGCCTTCCAAGTGGTAAGTCTAGAGGTTTTATCAATACAGTCAAAACTAGTCAGAAGTGTTCATTAAAAGTTAATTCTGCACCAAATTCAACACCGCCAACCACTAAACCTCAATCTCTCTTACAGGTGCGCTTCACACATCCGCCACCGTTTCCACCTGATGCGACCCTAGGCGGGACTTTCAAACTATTTGCTTCATGGTATTCGGGCTTGCTCGCAACGACAATCCAGGAAAAAACCGCAGAAGCTTTGAACTATCACATGTTCTATGTGGACAAACAGATGCAGTTCATTGAGTGCAACGCGGTCACGCACCTGCATTACGGTAAGAGAAGTTTCTAGAGATAGATCTGCATCTAGAATTTTTCAGACGATTTCCTCCGCTGGTTCAAAGCATTCATTCTGGCTTACAGTGACCCAGTCGTGAAGATCACTTCGATCATTACAACTGGTAAAGATATAGGAGAAATGATTCTGAATGTTGAGGCAGGGACTGAAGGCGGATTTCGCGAGAATTTCGATGTGAAAATCGGCGCGATGAGGGTAGGTCAAACTACAGTAATCCTTATAAAATGATTTCTTTAGGACGAGACTACCACCGGCTGGAAAATTCTCATTGTGAATCGCGCAATTGGATGTACTTAACTCTTTCATCCTATTATGATCACTAATAAAATTTTTTTTTTTAATTCCTCTCCTCGGCATCGTATTTTTGAGTTTTTAAGAAAAAACAAAGAAAAAACATCAAAATGTTTGCGAGAAAATTCTGCACAAAAGCTAATTAATTAAAAACTTTTTCAACCGGCAGGTATTTTGATAGAACCCCGAAAATCTCGAAAAACTGAATTCTATTGGTTTCTTGACCAAAATTGACGATTTCAGGCTCACTTTGTGTGTTTTCGCCCCTTCATAATTGCATTCAGAGCTACAGTAACCCTTTCTAAATGTTGGCATACAGTACCCCTGTAAACTACAGTAATTTTTTTGAAATTTAGAATTTTGGAAATTTTTGGAAATACACAATTTTTTGAAGTTTTCAGAAATTTGGGATTTTTTCGAAATTCGGGATTTTTGAAAATTTAGAATTTTTTAAAGTCAGAATTTTCAGAAATTTTCAAAAAAAAAAGTAAAATTCGGATTTTTTTTGAAAGTACAGTAACCCTAGGCAAAAATACAGTAACCCTTTCTAAATGTTGGCATACAGTACCCCTGTAAACTACAGTAATCTTTCTGAAATTTCGAATTTTGGAAACTTTTAGAAACTCGGTTTTATTGTTGAAAAATGAGCATTTTCACAAATTTTCAAAAAAAATCGAAAAAATGGATTTTTTTGAAAGTACAGTAACCCTAGGCAGAGACACAGTAAGCCTTTCGAAGTTTTGGCGTACATCACCTCTGCAAACTACAGTAATCTTTTTGAAATTTAAGAAAATTTAGTATTTTCATAAATTAAGAATGTTCAGATTTCTGGATTTTTGGGATTTTCAGAAATTTTCAAAAAAAAAAAAGGAATGTTTTTTTGTTGAAAGTACAGTAATCCTAGAGATCTACCGTACCCCTGAAGCTACAGTATTCCTTCTCAAAATTTTTTCCAGCTATTCCACGTCATCGGAGTCCGGAACCCTAAAATGCTCATTTCGGGTCCCAGTTTTCCACAAAACTACAGTATTCCGCAGTACTTCTGAACCCCTGATGTTTTCTACAGTAGCATCTACAGTAATTCAGAATGCTACAATAACCCGAACCGACTCAACAGTAGGATCAACAGTACCTTTTTCCCCCACTGCGCCGTTTCTTCTACGGCATCCCCCTCTCCCTGTTGCGCCTTGATAGCTCAGTTGGGAGAGCGTTAGACTGAAGATCTAAAGGTCACCAGTTCGATCCTGGTTCAGGGCAGTTTCTTTTTTTTCTTTTTGCTGTTTTTGCATTAGCTTTAGAGGGTCTTTATCGCCTAGAATCTACCTAGCTAACCTATTTCAATAGTTTAAAACTCACCAAATGCCATCATAGGACAATCCTTGGTGCAAAATCTTATGAACAACTTCAAACTCAGCTTCGGAGCGGTTGAGAAGATCCGGTGCCAAAATGATATCGTACTTCTTTCCACCCAAAAAGTTTCTGAGCTCTTCCATTGTTCCACAAGTGAGCTTGGTCTTATTTTTAGGGATATTGTTTCTCTTGAGCGTTGGTTTACAGTACAGCTCCAAACTTGTTTTATCGATAGTGTGCATCGCAATCTCATCAGCTCCATTTTCAAAGGCGTAAACTGATGGGAGTCCGGTAACGAATCCGATTTCCAGAACAGATTTTCCATCGAAGAAATCGGTTTCCATTTCGACGTTCATTATATTGTCAATGGTATGGCAAATGGTGTTGACGCCTTCCCAATCATCATGGGAGTTGGGAGAGCGTTAGACTGAAGATCTAAAGGTCACCAGTTCGATCCTGGTTCAGGGCAGTCTCTTTTTTTTCTTTTTGCTTCTATAGTAAAATCCAATAGAGGTACCAGAAGCTTATTTTTCAAAATTTCCACTCAAGACCTTCATTTTTTTCTCAAAAAAAAGACAAACAAAGTTCACAAAACCTTCTTCTCTTCTTCTTCAAACTTCGCTTTACGACATCCACCATCGCCAACTTTCGAGTTATTCTTCTTCAACTTGATACGTCCATCCTGTTTGTAGTCAATGACACAAGTGTGACTTTTTGGATTACGGTGGCGGTCGCAGAAGATACGATCACACTTGCAACGCATCGTTTGTTGGGTGGGCGTGAGCTTCTTGAAGCACGTCTGGAAATTTTCGAAGAATATTTTTGATTTTCAGATTTTGGAATTTTTTGAGTCTCAAAAACCTCCAGAACCCTCTGAAAAAACTCACATTACACTTTGTCTTTCTCTCCTCCTCAAATCTCTTCACATATCCCAAAAGTTCTGCCTCGGAGCTCGGCGGAAGGTACATTGAGCGGCGAGCTCGTTTGTATTCTTCAATGGTTTCAGGCGGATCGAAGAATAGCTAAAAACGGACATCAGGACAAACACACTTACCGACAAATTACCTTAAGCTCTTTCTCAGTGACATTATTCTCATCTCCAGCTTCTGGAACGGACGTGACACTGGAGATGCTTGAGTTTGAGCCGGAGACACATGACAGTTCAGAAGGTGGCGTGGCAACAGGGGAGAATCTGAAAAAATTCCAGAAACTTCCAGAATAATCTTTTTCAAAACTCTTACGATTGCACAGATCCAGCTTCTGACTCCACTGGCGTGCTAGACAAAATCGGTGCGTGCTTCTTGCGACGCAGCAATGTCTTCATTCTGTTCCTCGTCAACTCGTGCTCCATTTGCTTTTCCGGAGTCCAAATGTTGGCCGTCGCATCCGTACCGCTCAACTTCTTCGGCTTACGATGTACTGTATTCATGCCTTTGATCTGCTTACGAAGTTGGTCTTGATTGCTAGGAAAAATCGGAGGCATCATTAGAATCATTTCGGTAGTGGTGGGATTTCTGGAAGAAAAAAGTTTAGAAAATTGGGTTAGAAGAGCTTCGGAGAGCTCTACAGGTCATGTTAAAAAATCGAAAAGAGATTGCCCTGAACCAGGATCGAACTGGTGACCTTTAGATCTTCAGTCTAACGCTCTCCCAACTGAGCTATCAAGGCACACTCGCATAGGGAGAGGAAAGGCGTACAAGAGAGGGAGCGTGGTCGAGGGTCGCCGGATGAGGAGGGGGCAGACGTAAGGGGTAAATTTAGTGCAAGTGAAACTTCAAACTTTCATAACCCAAGATCTACTGAATAATTTTTGCTGAAAATTTCAGAGTATACTAACTACGACATGTGGAATTCGATTATTTTCAAAAAATTGGGACCCTACCTAAAAAAATTTTGAAAAAAAGGACCTACGTAAAAACACCAGTACTCATTTTCACATTCATCGTAATTGTTGCATCTCCAGTGATACCGTAATCAGCTATTGTTTTATTTGAGTCTTTCAACTCTTTTCCTTTGAAAAGAAGTATTTGACGATTTGCCATTACGTCGGTTTGGGTCTCGATTTGGTATTTGAGCTCCTGGATCGTCTCTTTTTCTTTCGCTTCGATGATTATCTGGAAAATTCTATTAGAGAATAACAGGAAACAAGCCTATGTAACCTAGGATCTCATAGATGACCTAGGATCTCAGAATTTGGAATCCTAGGCCATCAAACTTCAAAAAGCTATAACTTCTTTCATTTGAATTTTATAAAAATTTCTGTAGACGTAATTCATCTCTAGTCAATCATTTTTGTAATTGATAACTTATTTCTAGGATCATTCTCAACTAAGTTATGGCCCCTTTAGTAACCGTGACCTAACTTTTTCTCAAATAAAAAAGTTCGGCCACCTGACTTTACCTCCTTGACACCTTGCATCACACTGCTCACAGTAATCTTCACACGCTTCTCATCTCCTGGTGACTCCGAACGGGATCCCGCCTTATCATTATCATTCGGTGATTTCATTCTTTCGTGGATTATTGATCGAATTTCGTATCAATCAAAATTGTTTTGTTGGGAATAACCACAAATTTTTGTTCTCGACTACAAAAAAAATGTTAAAAATTGCCTTACACGAAAAATTGCCTCCGGATACCATCTAGGGCATCATCGAAAAAAGCAAAAAAGGTTTGGGCCGAACCGGGAATCGAACCCGGGACCTCTCGCACCCGAAGCGAGAATCATACCTCTAGACCATCCGGCCACTGGTTACCAGAGGGAGGGGAGGCCATACACATGCACGCTGCGAAATAAGAAGAGACGGAGACGCGCGTGGAGGGGGAAAGGAGGTCGGAGAGAAAGGGAGAAAAGAAAATGGCGTCATACAAAGAAAAGAGGTCATAAAGGAACGGAAAAGGGGGGAGCAGACGTTGGTTTTTAATGAAAATTTTCATGAAAAATCTCTTAAAATCTTTAAAAATCCCGGAAAAATCATATAAAAATCTACAGTTCCTGTGGGTAAAAATAAAAGCCAAAATTAAAATGTTTGATAGATTTACAATATGACCCAACCTAGTATAAAAGGGACCCCAAATTTCTCTAAAAACCATTCAAAATGATCCTTCCAAAACTCCTCTCCCTTCTCCTTATTCTTATGGTTCTCAAAGAGAGCTCCGCCGTTCGTGGTGCTCTCTTCCGCTCCGGGCGTTCTGTTCCGTTTGAGCGTGCTCCTGGTCAACAGGTTAGTTGAGAGCTGTACTTAAAAACTTTAAAAGCTGAAAAAAATCCAAAAGTTAGATCCAAGTTTTTCGGGATTTCGGGTTATGGAAACTTTCCTGATCTCAAAGTTAGTTTAAAATACTCAGCAAAATTATAAAAAAATATTGGAAGCAAAAAGAATCGAACTTGGGCCTTGTGATCCTTAGCCATCCATACTATCCACTGGGCCAAGGATGCAAAGCGCGCGCGCGTCGCTTTAACTTGTATAAGCAGGGGGCGCCAACCACCACCGGCTCGCCATTTTCAGTGAAGGTTGGCGAATAGCCTACTGGGTAATGAGCCTGGTTTTGAATCCAAAACCTAGGTCAGAGTCCCCGGTTCGATCCCTAGCGTCTCATTTTTGCTTTTTCTTTTCTTTTAGGCCTCAGATAGCCCCGAGAAATGATCAATTTTCGACCGATTATTCATTTCTGATTGATAAATCCGCCCGGAAGTGTGTAATTTTGATAAGCTATATCTAAATATATATATTTTGAAAGTGTACAGACAATTTTTCAACAAAAAAACTGGATTTTCCGATTATAGGCTTCCAAAAGTGAAGATAAGCTAGTCTAGGCTTTCTAGGCTTTATGTTTCCTAGTCTAGTCTGAATTCTAGGATTTAAAAGCAAAAATTCTTATAAAAATCAAAAAATACAGCAATCTTCATATTTTCTCTCACAGCCTAGAAGCTAAACCAGGCCTGTGCGGCAACAATTTGCCGATTGCCGAAATTGCCGAATTTTTGTTGGCGATTTGCCGTTGCCGAAATCGGCAACGAAGAAAAAGTTGCCGATTTTTTTTGGCAAAAAAATTTTTTTGGCAAAAAAATTTCGGCAATTTCGGCAACTGAAATTTTTTTGAATTTAGAAATTTTCACAATTTTTTAGTCAAAAAAAAATGATTTCGAAGTTCGAAAAATCAAATTTTGAATACCATCATGGCTCCTGGACGTTTCAGAACCCGACGTTTCGGAACCACGACGTTTCAGAACCCGACAGTTCAGAACCCGACGTTTCAGAACACG